ATTACAAGGTAACACGATTAAATTTCATGCCTGTGTGTAGAAATGGACATAGAGATGGTAGGGATTTTGTCTGAAAGCTGAAAAAAATGAAAGCTAGATGATCAAATACTATGTTCAAAGAGAGCACAGTTTTTCTTATCTAGTCCTCTTAGTTCCATTTTTCACCTCTTGAAATAATTTTTGACAGAGAACTAAAATGCTTTAATGGAATTTGCCCTATGTAAATGAGTGATTTCCTTTATATAGTATTCATTAAAATACTAACCATGTTGGAAAAACTTGGGCTTTTGATGGATTTATACAAAACTGGTATTGCAATTAGTGTTGCGACTATAAAGACAAGTGCTCCAAAGTCCATTAAAACTTATGAGGCTATATCAGCTTGACTGTAGATAAGTCACAAGGAAAGTGAAGAGCTGAAACAGTTATGTTCTCATATTTGAACTGTGAACTTCACTCATATTTTACTCAGCAAATAGAATTACTAATTGTGATAAGTGAAAAACATTGATCTGTTGAGTAAGCATTGGGTTTAGCAAATGAAATCAGACTTCTTTGAAACTGCATAAACTTCGAAATATAGGTCTACTCTGAGGAGTTTGTGAATTTTCAAAGTCAACATCAATTTCCACTAACTATAGATGAACATTTTGTCTTTCTAAAGCAAGTGCTGATTCTAATAGTAGCAGACAAAGTTCAATTCAGATCATTTTCTGCTTGAAATTACAAAAACCTTCACTTTGCTATTTCCAAATGAGGATTCTTCTGAACTTGGAAAATAAAGTAAGAATTTTCTTTCCTTGATGTCCAATTACATGGACATATTCTCTAAAATTTGCTGGAACTTCAAAGGGTATTTACTGATTCAATGGAGTAGGCAGGTTTGGCCCTCATCACCTGACAGCACATTTTCTCCCTGTTGATCCTCCCCCAACGTTACTTTCTTTGAAGAAGTGACAGTTTTCATGATTAACAGCTTCAGCTTTTCCTGTTCCACTATTGCCAACTGCTTTATCTCATTGTTACAGGTACCTGGCAGACATTTGAGAAAACCAGAACTCTAGACTCCATTTGAGTAGTGTGTTGGTATAGTGTTCTTTTGGAATGTATACACCTACCCTTGTTCATTCAAATGCTGATTTCTCTGCCCCACTCTCTGGTTCAATCCAGACATTACATTGTGATACTTACTCTAAGCATCACCTGTCTCAACTTTGTGTAAACATGCCAAAATAAAACAACCAGCCACAATGTTGAGCAATGGAGAGGAAGAAGTAGGTGGGAGAGGGGAGGAGCCAGAGGACAGGAAGGAGTGAGAGGCAGAGGGAGAGGCAGAGGCTGGGAGAGCAGAGCAGAGCAGGAGGAGAGGTCTTGTTATGAAGTGGAGAGGTGGACTGGACCTAATATATCATTAAAAGCAAGTATAATGTGGCTTGGAGGTTTAGGATGGAACAACTATTGCCCAGCATTGTGATCTAGGTTTATTAAATAAATCCCAGCCTTTCTTTGGTGATTTGGGTATACAGCTGTTTAGGATTAACAGCAGCATTTCTAAAAGATATATCAATAGTAAATATTAATCGCCAAATACAACAGTAGTGACTAGAATCCTTGTAGCTTCTTGAACCTCTTTTCTATAACCACAAAGAAGACATGTTAGTCCCTGAATCAACACCATGTCTCTGTCCTATCAGTCCTGCTGTTGTCTTTAGATATTCTTCTTTCTCACGGAGAACTTCATACCCAGAAACAAAACTTCATTTCCATCATAGAGTTTTTCCAAGTCCTATTATGTTTTACCAATGACCCTGATTCTGGCCACCATAATCTCCTCTTCTTTATTTCTGCCATTGACTTTGTTTATTATTATCATTATTTTAAGTAGCTTCCTTGCTGAAAGCTCTGTGAGTTGTGGTGCTCCACCATTTTATTCTATGCCTACTATGTAGGTAAGTGCTTATGTTTTTGTCATAAGCTGACAGTTACAGGATATATCCCTCTTCTAGGCTGCTACAGAAACTTAGTCAATCTTTTTTTTTTTTTTTAACTGGAATTCAACTTAAATTGTTAGTGACTAAAGGACCTTGCTGGTCTCAGAGTCTCTCAAGAAGGATGAAATAATCACAGTGTGTTGGCATGCTAGCTAACAGTATTCATGGAAGCCTTCAAGACAGTGCCAGAGTTATGCAGGGTCTGTGATCATTGAAATATGGCAGACTACTTCATTTCTTGGCACAACTGGCCAGCTATTGTGGTTAGAATGTGAATTGTCCCCTAAGCTCATTTATTTGAGTGCTTTGTCCCTTGCTGGTAGTATTGTTTGGATTCTTGTGGAACCTTTAGGACATGGAGCCATGCTGGAGGAAGTGGGTCACTGAGGGTGGGCCTTAAGGTTATATAGCCTTGTACCACTTCCTGTTTGCTCTGCTTCTTTACTGCAGATGCAGCATGACTAACCCACTCAGCCACCATGTTTTCCCACCAGGACTGACTGTATCCTAGCACATTTGAGGCCTAAAGAAGCATGCCCTCCCTTAAGTTTCTTCTTGTCACATATTTTGTCACAATAATGAACAAACTCGTTAACAGAAACTGCTGTGGGGGCACAGGGGCACGGCTCACTCCACCTTAGCTCTTCACCTGGGCCATGTTGATCACAATCGTACTTCAACTTCATGGATTTTCTTCATGGTCTACATAAGACAAAGCCACAGAGAAGGGACTCTGGTAAGGGCACAGCAGTACAGAAAAAAGTATAAATATAAAGAATTGAGGTATATACTGTGATTTGAATGCAAAGTATCTCCCACAGCTTTGTTGAACACTTGGTTTCAGCTGGTGGCACAGTTTGGGGGAGGTTGTAGAATTTTAGGGTCATGATGTCTAGTTGGTAGACAGAGAACACAGAAGCCAGTTTTTGAAGCTTGTAATCTGACCCTGCTATCCACATCCTGATCCTATAAAATATGAGAAGTGGCATTCATAAATGTCTGCTATGCCAAACCAAGTCTTTCCACCATGCCTTTTCTGCCACTATGGACTGTATTGCATGAAACCATGATCCAAACTGATCCTTCTATTGTTGAGCTGCTTCTGGGAGATAGTAAGTCATAAAAAAGAACAAAGCACTCAATGCAGTAAGTATTCTTATTCTCTCTAAAGGTGTGCTGTTCTTAAGAACTCATAGAAGCTGGTGAGGTGGCTTAGTGTATAAGGGCAATTGATGCCAAGACTAATGATCTGAATTGTATCTCTGGTACCCATATGGTGGGAATTGAGCCCCACAAGATGTCATGTAATCTCTATATATGCACCATGGCACATGTGTGCACACATGCATGTGGGCACTGTTGGACAGTTAGATTAGTTGGGCACTGATTATTGTGGGTATCTTAATATTTATTAGTATTTTTTAATATTTATTATTGATATATCTGTTAGTTAAGCAGCAGTTAGTCCTAAACCAGCTGTATATCCAAATCACCACACAGAGACTAGGATTTATTTAATTAACCTTGAGCACAATGCTGGGCAATTGTTATTCCATCTTAAACCTCCAAGCCCACATAATTTCAGATTTCACCCATTATACTGGCTTTTAGTCATACCTTAGGTCCGGTCTATCTCTCCACGTGGTTCCAAGACCTCTCCTCTGGATTCTCTGCTCCTCCTCTCCTCTCACTCACTTCCTTCTCTTCCCCTCTGGACCAGAATGTCCCATCCTACTCTCACCATTGCACAGCACTGGGGCTGGTTGTTTAGCTGACAATACAGAGAACAAATAGTGGCATGTTTACACAAACTTGAGACAGGTGATGCTCAGAATAAGCATCACAATTCAATACACAGATTGAAACCAGAGAGTGGGGTAGAGAAATAAGCATTTGCATGAACAAAGGTAAATTGCATACATTCCAAAAGAACATTATACCAACAGGGCACACACACACGTGCTCACACACACATATACACACTAACACACAGAATAAATAAATGTAAAAAAACCTATTATTACCGTTTTGGTCGTTGGTTTAAACTATATTTTTCTGTAATTATATGTATTTATTCAGTTACTTCATGCTTTCATTCTAAACTTCTCAATCTTATTAATTCCAATGGGAGAGTGAGAATTTTAGTTCATAGTTTTTACTTGCTGTTCTTATTCTGATTGAAGCCAGAGGTTTACTTGGTATGCAATTTCAACTGAATGTAGATTAAGAAACACTGATTAAAATCAACAGGAGATTAAAATGACATTTACATCTCTATACGTAAGAAATTATAATTAATTATATCTGGCTTTTCAGATCCAATGGAAAGCTAGAGTTTTTAAGACAGTAATATTTTTTAATTAACTTTAAACTAGAAACAGTATACTTTTCTTTGGGGCAATACTTGCACACAATGGCATATTAATTAAAAATAAATTACAATGAATTTCCTTTGGAAGCACAAGTGATATTAAAGTGTAATATGTTGCTAGTTTACTATAATTAAAATGCTTACTTTTTATCTTGCCAACAACAGTATTATTTATGTATATATATGTACACACTCTTTTTTTTCTTGTTCCCTAGTATAAATACTGTTACTTCTCTCTTTGTGGGAGAGCAGGAAATATCTCAAAATATGGTATTCTGATGTTTTGATGTGCTAATTCTGCTAAGTTACAGGAGTTTAGAGATAAGTGTATTGAAAGAATGTTTCTCTTATGTCTCTTTGTTTAAGTTTGGGGCACACTAAAGATGATAACAATTACTTCTGGTTCAGTTGTGGTTCAGATATAAAATGTCCTCAATCGCTCTGTGTTGAAGGCTTGATTCCCAGGGTTCAGAGGAGAGTCTCTGGGGAAGTCAATGAATCATGAGGGCTTCAACACTGGATTATTCTACTGAGGCACTCACTATTGTATTGGGAGGTTATAAAAAGTAGAAGTCAAGAGAGTGGTTATTTCTTCTGCTTACCTTTTCTGGGCTCTTTGCTGAGCTTCCAGCATCGCCATGTTGGGCCAGAGTATCTGGAGGTTCAACACCTCCATTGTCTGTCACAGCCACTATGAGGACGGCCCGGGAAAGAATTTGCCATTTTCCATGGAAAACAAGTGGTGGTTACTGGCTATGATGACTGTGTTGTTTGGGCCTGGATTTGCTGCTCCTTTCTTTATAGTAATGCACCAGCTACTTAAAAAATAAGGATATGTAATCTGTCCTTCAACAGGATGAAGAATGTTTTAAGTGATACAATCTGAAAATTGGATTGGACTCTTATACTGGATACAATTGTAAATAAAGTAATGAAATTAAAAAAAAAGTAGAAGTCTGGCCTTGAAAATGTACAGTGAACTGGGGAAAACAAACAAAGAAGCAAAACAAAATAAAATAAGTTGAGTCCTCATAACAGGCCTCAGATTGTCAATGACTTTGATCTTAATACTGAGTGGTGTGTGACAAGAATGCATGTGGAGAAAGTGGGGTTTGTTTGCTTGTTTTGGTTTTTAATTCTTTGAAAATATTATTAATATATACAGTATATCTGGGGAAATGCCCTAGTCCTCTCGTAGGGATCGTTGGCAGTTTGCAGTTGTTAGAAGAAGCCATGTTTTCTTCAGTGGTGCAGCCACTAATTGTCCTTGCTACACACCCTACCACCCTTTTGCTCAGATAAGTAATTCTAACTAAACTCTGTGGGTCACACACAAAGAAGACATGAAAGTAGGAGGACTTGTGGAGAAGGGTGCTATGGGAGAGAGAAGAGGTTAAGGGGAAATGGGGGTGTAAATGACTGAAGTTAATTACATGAATCTAGGAAACTGTAAAACTTTTTTCAAATTGTCAAACACAAGTAAATGTTATGGGTAGCAGAAATTACCACTCAGACATATTTGTAGCCAATTGAAAGACTTTATTCCAGTTAGCTGGGACCATAACCAGGTACTTGTGGACCTTGGGGTGACCCTCAGAGTCCAGAGCACAGGGTGTTTGAAGGCAAAAACTCAGATTCTGTCATGTCAGCAGGCAGCTGAAGTGAGGTTTTGTAGAAGCAAGCAGCTTAACAGAACCTAAGATAAGCAGTTTGCTGTAAGCGGTTCTGCACAAACAGGCTAAGTAAGATAACTTAGCTAGGACATCCTGACCTTGGATTTCTAGTACAGAGTTGAGCAATTTTCCATGTGATTCTCCACCAAGGAGATCAAATTCTAGTTAAACCTGAAATGGCCTCAACACTACTACAAGATGGAGGAAAAAAAAAGTCCTCATCTTGCTTTGGCACATAATGAGTCCCTATAGAAAATCTTAAGAATCTTTTCCTTACAGAAACTTCTCTGAAACAGCTGTTTCCATCAAAATTTTATTTCATCCTCAGGATAGAAAAAAATATTCAATAAACTGTAAATTCAAAGGAAATGTGAGCTATTTATTATGAACAAATCAGAGTTTAGAAACAGAGCACCTGACTTGGAGAAATCACAAGTGCAATAAAAACCACGTCTCACATGATCTGGGACGCCACTTAAATGTTTTCATGGAAGCTATTTCTCTCATGTATTCACAGCCATAATCACATATTGATTTGCAATTATTTGATAACCTATGCATCCCTGTGAGTGCAGGATTGGACCTGCCCAAACTCTCCCTGCAGCAATACAACTGCTGTCAACAGGCAAAAATTCAGAGAAACCACACATTTCCCATTCTCTGGCACATCTCCTGGGAGATATCTAGCAATCCCAATACTTGAAAACAATTACAGTGGCTGTTTCCAGGGATGTGACACTGTAAAGGGATAAATTAGAAAGAAGGCAGAGTTGAGCATTGCACCTGGGGTCGGGGAGACACCAGCATTACAGGCACAGCAGGAAACTGGCTGCCAGAGAAAGTTTAAATGACATGCACATGGCCTTGTAATATGAAGTCTGGAATTAAAAATAAGATATCTTCTTAGAAAAGTGGATAGAAATCAATAAACATTAAGCATTTAGCTTCTGAATAATAAGATTATTACTCCTTAAACAATACCATCTACCCCAGTTGTCTTCAACGGAGAGCCAGTCTTCAGCACTACATCAAAACTGCATTTTCACAATCATGATCACTAAAACCTCTTTAAACTGATTTTATCCTTGGCGATGTGAGATAGCTGAATCATGTGATGAAATCTTGAGTAGAAGATTTGTCAAGCAAAATATCTTGTCTGATGCTCTTGGATTTTGTGGCCGGGACAATGTTCAGTGGCAAAGCTGTATTGTGGCTTTGGAGGCAGTCCTGTTCTGAATGAAAATTTCTGGAAAGAAGCTGTGTCTGAAGAGAGGGATTGACAGACTGGAACTGTAATACTGTGGAGAGATTGAAATGTTGCTGGTCTAAATGCTAATTTCCTTATCTTGGGCTAGTTCTAGCTCTCCAGAACATCCATTTGTTGCACTGATAGTATACACAAAAATAAGTTGCCAATACAGTACAGACACAGCACAGGACTGAAATCTTTGAAAATTTTGATTTTTAAAATCTGAAGATATAATTCCCATAACATTAAAACTAAGATATTTATACTAGTACAACTGGGTAATATCTATGTACATACTGGTATAAGGATATATATTGTGCTAAAATAAAACAAAGAACATACACTGAACTTACTGAGTGACATAAAGAAAAAAAATAAATTTTCAAGGAATGTTCTATAAACACCTGGGAAATAAACATGCCAAACCCAAAGATGCAGAATGTGAATCTCACAACCAAGAGTAGAAATCATCTTTAAAGAGCTTTGCAGCTCAAAGTTTGCACTTCTCAACTGAAAACACAGTGCCTAGCAGTTTAACCATTAGGTGTGTAATATCTCGAGTTAGGCTTCCAGGAATGAGATTGCTGTGCGAATTAACATCTGATCAGCTATTCACAAGACAATGCTGCTCTGTTGATTTCCCTCTGCCTAGCTTTTTCAACGTGGAAACAACCACAGCGGCCTGGGATGGTTTGTTCTAGGATAATTGCTAAATTATGCTTCAGAAAATGCACTGTCAAAGTGCCTAGGCTTTAAAAAGTCTTAAAACATGTAGGGTGAATTTGGAGTAGTGAAAATTAATTCTGAGAAAGTGATGCAAGGGTTTTATTTTGTCGTTGATAAGCGGAGGCATTTGGTGTACCTGGCTACATCTAGGATCTAAAGTCCTTCTGCAAGTCTCTGAATTTTAGGACATGCTCAAATTCTGACTTAACAGCACCTCCCTCAGCCTTTACAGTTATTAACCCTGAGTCGCTGACCTGTTCCTTTATTTTATCTCTACCGTCGTTTGCACTATATTAAGGCTAATGAGGAATCACACAACGTTATCAAATAACCAAAGTTCTGTGGCTAAGCCATCTGCTAGCAGTAAGACATTTTCAAGGTTTATTTTATTTTTATTTATGTGTATATGTGTATATTCATCTTTGTGTGGTGTGTGCACATGCATGCAGGTTCCCGCAGAGGTCAGAGGCATCAGATACCCTGAAGCGAGTCACAGGACGTGGTGAGCCATGTTGTTATGGCTAGTGGTAAATGAACTGGGACCCCCTGGAAGAGTAGATGGTCCTCTTAACTGCTGAGCCGTCTCTCTATTCCCTATGGGACGTTTTAATTAGAAATTTTCAAGATATTGATGCTTAGAAATAATTAATAATATTTTTGTGACTGAGTACAACTGAAAAAAAGTAGTTAAGGTGCTATGAAATGTCAAAATAGCATACAATTAAATTTTTTAAACTAAAATTGATATCCATGCTTCCATAGTATAGCTCTGTATCTGTTATCTGTCTTATACTTCAATATTGATATGTAACCTTCTTTTAAAAAGGTTTTATTTGGGTGGATATGTGTGTTTTGAGTGTGTTCTATGTATGCAGAAGTATATTCAGAAGAGGGTATTAGATGCCCAGAAGCTAGAGTTACAAATAGTTTTGAGTCACTTGAGATGGATGCTGGGAGCTCTTACCTGATGAGCCATCTCTCTAGTCTACATGGGAGCTTCTTTAATACATAGTATGAATTCCTCATCACTGTGTGATTGTGAGTAGATTCAGTCTTAAGATTCTGAAAAACATTAAAAGGACTTAGAGATAGATGTTCAAATTCAACTTCATTCAGAGCAGGATGAAAACTGAGCTTTTGTCTTTTGTTTTTAGATACAGATATTTGAATATTGTTATATTAGGTCTCCCTGAATTTCCAATTCAGATGCACAGTGTTTGTTAATACCAAGACTCTTCCATCATAAAAACCGTGTTTTCCTTGTACCTTAAAGGATTGATTTCAGATGCCAGAAGAAAGTCTATTATATTTCAGTAAGTATTTTCTTCTAACATGCTTTTTTAGATGTTTAGTATGCAATTACATTTATGCAACATAATTTCAATATTTATTTTCTTTGAAATAAATACTTTATACATCATCAGGTTTCTTTTACTTTCTTTCTTTCAAAAAAAAAAATCATGTAACCCAGGCTGGCCTCAAACTTTGTTCTGAAGCTAAGGATGATCTTGACCATCTGATTTCCCTGCCTCCATCACCCAAGTCCTAGAATAACAGGTGTATGCCACCATGCTTGGCTCTGCTGAGACTGAACCCAGGGCCTTGTGCATGCTTTGCAAATGTTCTCCCAACTGAGCTATTTCTACAGCCATGATACTTTTTCTCTTGTTCTTCTGGCTAGATTTTTCTAAGTCACTGAAATATTCATTCTGGATTATTTTGCATTTTCTTCAGCATTTTGAATATAGACACAGTCTACGTCCCTAATATAAGACTTCTTCAATAAGACATGGATTTTGTTGACCTTGATATCACATCCTTACCTCCCTCACCCTCTCAATGTGGGTGGTTATAACACAGAAACCGCAGCTCTCAACTCAAAGAGGATAGGTAACAGCTGTAGATAAATATGAGTAATTATGGCATGGAAACAGAGTAAATCAAATTCTGTGTTCCAAAATGTTAACTGTTTCATGGATTCTTAAATTCACAGAACCAAGAGAATTAAATATCAGCACACTTTTGAAATTCATTGGTGGGTACATTGGGTAGGAGGATTACAGCAAAGATGCAACCTACTGTAGGCCTCAGGTGCTATCATGTTGATGTTCTTAACTCCTAGGTTAGTTGAGGTTGGGGTCAGCTAAGGTCATATATCCTAAAAGGTTATACCTGAAGTCAC